CCCGGCGGAGCGCCCCGCCCGGGGCCCGGGCGCTGTCCGCCACGCCCTGGGAGCAGCTGGCGCCGGGCCGGGAGCCGGAGCCGCCGCCGGCAGCCAAGAGGAGGAGGAAGAAGAAGGAGTACGAGAACCAGGACGTGAACGGGTTCGCGGAGCAGCGCGGCCAGCAGCGGGCTGCGGAGGAGGAGGAGGCGCGGAGGAAGGACAGGCGGCGGGAGAGCAGGAGGCTGAGGAGGCAGGAGAGGAAGAGAAACGCCATGGTGAGGCCTGCCCTGCAGCCCCGGAGGGAAAAAGGAAGGAACGCTCCCTTTTTGCTCAAACCCCTCACGTTCGGGGGGCGTGAACAGTGGGCGCAATTACACCTTTTGTAATAAAATGTGACGGGTTAAGGCTCGAGGGATGCCGGTGGCAGCTTCTGACTGCGAAAGTGTGTCCAGAGCAATCTGCTCAGAGCAATGCACAAGCTCTGATTCCTAGTGAGGCTCACACAGAGCAGTCTTCACCTATTGGGGCCCTCTGGGGAACAGTAGGTTCAGCCGGTCCCACAGCTTACGATGGAGTCCTCCCAAACTTCTCCCTCTTCCTAATTCACTTTTATACAGTTTTGTTTACCTTTACGTGGAGATCTGGTGATTTCAGTCACATGTCTTTCTTAGGGGTGGCTGTACCGTGGCAGTGGGTGACTCGGGGCAGTACCTGAGGTGGCCCTGGGGTGGGATGTGCTCAGTCCAGACAGAGGGATTTCACCACAGCTGCTGATCCAGAACATCCTCCTCTGTCCCCGTTGACTTTCAGCTGCTGTGTGGCTGATCAGCTGCAAGGTACCACCAGGTCCCTTCCTCTGCAGAGATTTTGGGCAAGCTGTGGGGTCCCTGCCCTGCTCCACCCTCCTGGTAGTCCTGTCTGGATTGTGCAGAGGGGGTCCCATCCACTGTATTTTCCCCTGAAATTCCCCCTTTTAACCCCCAGTCACGTTCTCACAACGTTGCTGAAAGAGAGCCCCATGTTGGAGGCTCTCCCTGTGGTGCTGCTGCTGTGGGGCTCAGCAAGAGCTCAGCCTTCCCCTGCCACAGGCACAGCATGCTTCAGATGGAAGATGAGAAGTTTGGAACAAAAGATGACTTTCAGCTCCAGTTGTAGCCTTTAGCGTGGCTCTCCTGGCTTAGCACTGTTCCCCCTGCCCCTCTGAGGAGTCCCCAGCCCCTCTTGGTTCCTGGGTGAAACTAAGATAGTTTCTGTGTGTGATTCACCAAACTGTGTGTTGCTGGTTAAAGGAGGGAAGTGCCCATAATAACGTGGTTGGGTGGCAGAACACAAAGCCTCATCCTGGCTGCTTTTTCCTGGGGACAAAATTGCGTTTACTCTTTAGGCCCAGTGAGGCTGGGATTTCCAGGTTTGCCAGGATTGCCACTCACAGAATCACTGGATTTTCCTCTTCCAAGGTGTGTTTCCACTGCAGAGAACCTGGCCATGGCGTGGCTGATTGTCCTGCAGTGCTGGAGAGCCAAGACATGGGGACGGGGATCTGCTACCGCTGTGGATCCACGGAGCACGACATCAGCAAATGCAGAGCCAAGGTGGATCCAGCTGCTGGTGGGTCTCAGGAATTTGTGCTGTTGTGAAGTGCTTGGGTCTGAATTATCTGACTGCTGACCCTGAAGCTTTGTCTGCTAGAAATTTAACTTTTGCAATATGGTAATGAGGAACCTGACAGTAATTTGTAGCGTGAAGTGATTAAAATATTGTCATTGCTGTGTTGTATCTGTGACTTCACAAAGGTTTTTGATGTGGACCATAAACGCTGTGGGATTTTGCAGGGCCATTTCCTTATGCAAAATGTTTCATCTGTGGTGAGATGGGGCATCTGTCAAGGTCCTGTCCGGATAATCCCAAGGGATTGTATGCTGAAGGTGAGTGTACTGATTCACTACATCTAGTAAAATTAAATTTCTGTGTTCTTCTTACCTGGTACAGAAAAAAGTAACACTGCAGGTGAATGAGAATGTGGCTAAAAGGAATTCCCGTGTATCTTTCAGTAAAAGCAGAGTAATTCTGGGGAATTCATTGTCAAATAATTACCTAGGGATTTCTGTTTTAAGTGTAGGCTTATATTAAATGTCTGGATGAGGTGCAAGGTGTGAGACTTTGCAGGTGCCTCAGTATCAGGAAATGCACAAAGGAACACAATCCTGTGTGAATGTAGGCAGTGTGTATTTAGGTGCACCCAAGGAGGTGGTAAGAACGTTCTCACACAGTAGCTGAAGATTCTGGGAGGTTGTACTGAAGGGAGAGTATCTCCAGTCTGAGTAACTTTAGTGAGAAATGGGGTCTCACATGGAAGGTTTCACTGCTCTGTTGGCTCCAGCAACCAGCATTCTGTCTCCTGGTGTTTCCCAGCACAAAGTGGGGTCTTGGCAAACAAAGAAGGTGATCTTGCAGCCCAGTTCAAGTGTAACAAAAATCACCTTGCTGCCAAGTGTTTGTATTGTGGAATTTTGTGGTGTATAGAATTTCACATCGCAGTACCTGCAGTTGGATCACCTCCCTCAGGAGCCCCTGTCAATTTTTAAAGTTCCTTTGAGTATGGATTTCTGCAGAATTCAGCCCGTTTCTCAAAGAGAGAGCTTCCAGCAAATCAGAAATACCCAGTGGCTGGAATTTGTGGTGTGTGATGCTGTACTGAACAGTGTGACTCCAAACAGCTCTATTCCTCACAGACATGGGAAGGGTATTTTCCTGGGTGTTTTGTGGTGGTTTTTTCCCCTCAGATGAGTAACAACTTTGTGTGTGAACAGGTGGGGGCTGCAAACTTTGTGGTTCTGTGGAGCACTTCAAGAAGGACTGCCCGGAGAAGCAGAACGCAGGTGAGCTGCAGGGGGTGTGGGGTGGGTGTGGGCCCTGCTCTGCATGGCTGTGGGCAGGGAAAAGGCTTTGGGAAGAGAACTTGGAAGCAGCAGAGGTGACCTTTTGTTGGGACACTCAGGCAGGGTGTGGAGGAGGCAATGAGGTGCAATGCAAAAATAAGATATAATAATTGTATTTTTTTTTAAAAAAAAGTTATTCTTGTGTGTATCTGAAGGCCATATGAAATAATCTTGTGTGTATCTGAAGGCCATATGAAATAATCCGTGCTTTTTTGGCCTGTATTTGTGCTGATGTTCACGGTTTGGCAGCTGTGCAGCAGAGGTGGCTGCTGCTTTTTGCAGATTTCAGTGTGAAGCGCTGGAGCTGAACCCAATGCCAGCTGCAGGGTGGTGCTGTGTGCAGGCAGGTGTGTCAGGCACCCAGGACAGGGACAAAGATCTGTCCAGCTTTGGATTCACAGCTATTGAACTGCTTTCTTACCTGTTCTTCAGCTTTCCATCTGGGTGGAAAAATTAAATTAGGTTCTCCAAACCCCCACTGTGCTACAGGAGGCAAAGTATCAAACAAGGGTTTGAGAAGTGATCCTCTTACAGGAGTGCTGACCCACCTCTGCATTTTTCTACGTTGTTTCTATGACACTTAGTTAACATGCCAGAAAATAATTAGCCACTTCAGTGAAATTTATGTAAGAAGTATTTATGGCATTTTCTATATCTGATCCTATGACATTTTTAAGGTCTGGGACCATATGTAGGATTCTAGGTGTGTGCTGCTTTGCCAGTTTAGAATGGGTCAGACTTGGTATGACACAAGTTTATAACACCGAAAGACAGAAATTTCCCCAAACTCATCTGCAAGTAGCGAGGCTGTGCCCACTTGGGTGACTGATGTTTTAGAAGCCTGTAACTAGATTTTTCCCACCTTTTTCTGGTAAGTTTAACATCCATGATGAGGACTGTAAGTGCTGTTTGTTTTCCAAAGGGACTTCTTTCAAAACCAGCACTGCTGTTTATAAGCAGTGTAGTTAATTGGAACTGTGACACCATGGGCAAGAATTGTGATGTTCTTTGAGATCAGGTGTGCACTGTGCAGAGTATGTTCAAGTACAGGAGGCCAGGTGAGAGCTGGCAAAGCAGCTGCCAGTTTCCTCAGGCAGGTTGGGCCAGCTGTGGTGTCCAGAGGCAGAT